AAAAAAAAAAAAAAGAAAGAAAGAAAGAAAAAAAAAGTATTTGTTGAGTTAAGAGAATACACACACAATGGTTATCTGGAGTTTAGAAGAACAGGAGAAATACTGATGTTTTTGAGATGGAAAATAAGCTTTAGAATTCTACCTATTCACAAATTTGTTAGATTCTACATAGATAGGAACGAAATATACATAAATATTGATGCTGGTTATTTATGGAGTTTGGTTGGGAAAATTTTTTTTTTTTTTTTGAGACAGAGTCTCCCTTTTTTTGGACATGGCCGGGTTTGAACCCACCACCTCCAGTATATGGGGCAGGTGCCCCACTCCTTTGAGCCACAGACGCATCCCTAAACTGTCTTTTAAAAAAGATCCCCTGCCAGAAGTGGCAGCTCATGCCTATAATTCTAGCACTTTGGGAGCCCGAGATGTGTGAACTGCTTGAGCTCAGGAGTTTGAGACCATCATGAGCCAAGAGCAAGACTGCATCTCTAAAAATAGCCAGGCATTGTGGCAGATACCTGTAGTCTCAGCTACTTGGGAAGCAGACCAGAGAATCACTTGAGCCCAGGAGTTTGAGATTGTTGTGAGCTATGCCATGGCACTCTACCAAGGGCAACATGGTGAAACTCTTAAAAAAAAAAAAAAACAATAATAAAACATAACATGGCTTGGCACCCGTAGCTCAGTGAGTAGGGTGCCGGCCACATACACCAAGGCTGGTGGGTTTGAGCCCGGCCCAGGCCTGCTAAACAACAGTGACAACTGCAACTAAAAAATACCCAGGTGTTGTGGCTCAGCTACTCAGGAGGCAGAGGCAAGAGAATCGCTTAGGCCCAAGAGTTTGAGGTTGCTGTGAGCTGTGATTCCATGGTATTCTACTGAGGGTGACACACTGAGACTGTGTCTCAAAAAAAGAAAGAAAATAATAACAAAATAAAATAAAAATAGGCTGGGCACCCGTAGCTCAGTGGTTAGGGCACCAGCCACATGCTCTGGGGCTGGTGGGTTTGAACCCAGCGTGGGCCTTCTAAACAAACAGAAATAGCTAGGCGTTGTGGTGGGCACCTGTACTCCCAGCTACTCGGGAGGCTGAGGCAAGAGAATCGTTTGAGGTTACTTTGAGCTATGATGCCACAGCACTCTACCAAGGGTGATAAAATGAGACTCGACTTAATTGAAAATAAAATAAAATATTTTCCCACAAAGTATGCTTTTTTCCCACAGTGGGGAAATTTTATTAGAAACAATGGGTTTTACTAGTAGGAAGCATCTATGTATTGTACAAATGAACTAGTGGCTTAAGGCCTCAACTTTTCTTATAGGGGTCAACAAGTAATATTTCACTTTTTTCTGAACTATTTCAGAGTAAAATACAGTTAATGTGCACACATGTCTCCTATAAATTTTATTTGTGGCTTAAATTTTACAGTGGATTTATAGAAAAAGAGATCTCATGTCATATGTTGACATACGACAACATGCTCTTGTCACATATGGCCATATATACAGGATAACATATATATTGAATGTTCATGTTTTGGTTTTTTTGAGATAGGGGCTTGCTCGGTTGCCAGAGTTGGAATGTGGCATCATCATAGCTTATGCAGCCTCAAACTCCTGGGCTCAACTGTCCTTCTGCCTCAGCCTCCTGAATAGCTAAGACTACAGGCTACCACCGTACAGGCATTCACCAGCTAATTTTTTCTATTTTTAGTAGAGACAGGGTCTTGCTCATGCTCAGGCTAATTGTGAACTCCTAACTGCAGGCCATTCTTTTTTGTTTTTTCTTTTTTTGAGGTTTTTGGCTGGGGCTGGGTTTGAACCTGCCACCTCCGGCATATGGGGCTGGTGCCTTACTCCTTTGAGCCACAGGCACCCGCAGGCCATTCTTTCCACCTTGGCATCTTGGAGTGTGCTGGTATTACAGACCTCCGCCACTGTGCCCATCCTGAATGTCAAATATGTTGATGATAAGTTTTCACTGGCAATTAACGTTTTCCTTTTGTACTCCTTTCTCTGAAAATAAAATTTTGCCTTTATGTCATTTTAAAAGTAAATTATTGTATTCATTTTCCTAGAAAAATCTTCACCATTTAAGTCAGTAAATTAGTGGGGATATTAGGAAACCAGTACTTAAACACACAGTTGCTGGCTCGTGCCTGTAGCTCAATGGCTAGGGCGCCAGCCACATATACCGGAGCTGGTGGGATCTACCCCAGCCTGGGCCTGCCAAACAACAATGACAACTACAACCAAAAAATAGCCAGGTGTTGTGGCAGGCACCTGTAGTCCTAGCTACTTGGGAGGCTGAGGCAAGAGAATTGCTTCAGGCCAAGAGTTTGAGGTTGCTGTGAGTTGTGACCCCATAGCACTCTACCAAGGGTGACATAGTGAAACTGTCTCTCAAAAAAAAAAAAAAAAAAGAAAAGAAAACCTCAGTTGCTGGTATTTTGGATCATATACTGTCTGCAAATGAAGAATACATCTAATAGTTGCTATTTATTCATTCACATTTTACTTACTAACCACCATATCTACATGCCAGATATCTTAAAAGTTTCTAATGTAAATATAAAGATAGGTTACATTTCTGTTGGATTTATCAAGTGTATCTTGAGTATTTGGTAAAATCTATAGTCTTCGTAGGTCAGTAGATTCCATTTTGGAAATTTACTTCTGTATATATGTAGAGTTTTATATAGGTACTGTTGTGAATTAGTATCATATTTTAACAGATATGTATAATTAACAATATATTAAATAAGTCTTCTCTAATTTTACAGTTGATAAGAATGGTGATGTGTGCATTTCTATTCTTCATGAGCCTGGGGAAGATAAATATGGTTATGAAAAGCCAGAGGAACGTTGGCTCCCTATCCATACTGTGGAAACCATCATGATTAGTGTCATTTCTATGCTGGCAGACCCTAATGGAGATTCACCTGCTAATGTTGATGCTGCGGTAAGGAGGTCCCATGTGCACATCTTCCCTCCTTTTCACTCTCTGTTAATAGAACTTAACTTGAACTACAGTATCCAAGTATGTCTGTGTGTATATATCCCTGCTATATATTGTTTATTTATTTTTGCAGTTTTTGGCCGGGGCTGGGTTTGAACCTGCCACCTCTGGCATATGGGACTGGCGCCCTACTCCTTTGAGCCACAGGCACCACCCCTGCTATTTATTTTTGACAAAATTGTTTATTATATACAACATGATTTGAAATATCTATATATTGTGGAATGACAAATTCAAGCTAATTAACCTGTAATCTTTAATACCATTTTTTTGTTCTGAGAACACTCAAATCTACTCTCAGCAGTTTACATGAATGCAGTACATTGTCATTAGCTATATTTACCATGTTACAACAGTTTGTTAAGGGAGACATAATATAAAAGGATATAAATTGCAACATCAGAATTTAAACTGGGATAGGAGGGGGTAGAGTAAAAGTGTAGAGTTTTGTTTTTGTTGGTTGTTTGTTTGAGATAGTGTCTCACTTTATGGCCCCTTGGTAGAGTGCTGTGGCATCACAGGTCATAGCAACCTCCAACTCTTGGGCTCAAGCGATTCTCTTCTCTTAGCCTCCCAAATAGCTAGAAGTACAGGCGCCTGCCACAGCACCTGGCTATTTTTAGAGATGGGGGTCTCTCTCTTGCTCAGGCTAGTCTTGAACCTGTGAGCTCAGGCAATTCACCCATCTCAGCCTCCGAGAGTGCTGGGATTACATGCACGAGCCTCTGTGCCTGGCCAGTATAGAGTTTTTAAATGCAGTGAAAGTAGGCTGGGAAGCTCGGCACCTGTGGCTCAAGTGGCTAAGGCGCCAGCCATATACACCTAAGGTGGCAGATTCGAATCCAGCCCAGGCTCGCCAAACAACAATGATGGCTGCAACAACAATAACAAAAAATAGCCAGGCATTGTGGCCGGCGCCTGTGGTCCCAGCTACTTGAGAGGTAGAAGCAGAAGACTCACTTGAGCCCAGGAGTTGGAGGTTGCTGTGAGCTGTGATGCTATGGCACTCTACCCAGGGGGAATAGCTTGAGGCTCTGTCTCAAAAAAAAAAAAAAAAAGGAAGTAGGCTGGGCACAATGGCTTTCGTGTGTAATCCTAGTACTCTGGGGAACCAAGGTGGGTGGGTTGCTTGAGCTCACAAGTTCGAGACCAGCCTGAGCAAGAGTGAACTACGGACACTGCCCCCTAATATTGTTATTTGTAGCTGCTCTTCTCTGAACTAATACATCTTAAAGATTTATATTTTATTGTATCATCATCATCATCATCATTATTATTATTATTTGAGGGAGAGTCTCAATTTGTCACCCTGAGTAGAATGCCCTGGTGTCGTCATAGCTCACAGCAACCTCTAACTCCTGGACTTTAAAACCTTCTTGCCTTGGCCTCCTGAGTATCTGAGACAACTGGTACCCACCATGAAGCCTAATGCTTCTATTTTTAGTACAGATGGGGTTTCAGTTTTGCTCAAGCTGGTCTCGAACTACTGGACTCAAGCGATCCACCAGCCTCTGCCTCCCAGAGTGTTAGGATTACAGGTGAGACCCACCTGGCCTGGCCACCTCTTAAATTTAAAAAAACCAAAAAACAAAAAGAAAAACCTGGCTCTGGCTCAGCACCTATAACTCAGTGCCTAGGGCACCAGCCACATACAATGGAGCTGAGGGGTTTGAGTCCAGCCCAGGCCTGCCAAACAACAACTACAACCAAAAATTAGCTGGGAATTATGGTGGGTGCCTGTAGTCCCAGCTACTTGGGAGACTGAGGCAAGAGAATCACTTAAGCCCAAGAGTTTGAGGTTGCTACAAGCTGTGATGCCTCAAAAAAAAAAAAAAAAATTCCAATATGATCATTTTAATGGAGTCTCAGTAGAGCAAAGAGATAAAATTACCTCTAAAAAAAAAATAAATTCCAATATGATCATTTTAATAGCGTCTCAGTAGAACAAAGAGATAAGCTATATACTTTTTGCTACATTGGATTAATAATTTCCCCCTGTATAAAATGGGGTAGTCCATAGTGCATGGCACAGAAGACTTAATGAAAGGTTACGTATGTTAGCTATTCCTATTTGGAATTACCATTTGCCAATCTGCCTTTCATGTAGAAATTCCCCACTCCCACTCTTGTCTTTATCACCAGAAAATGTCTTTCTGTCAAATCCTGTCTCGACTCCTTTTTACCTTTCTGCCATTGAACTAAGTCTTTTCATTTCTTTACCTACTTTATTGTAATAGCTTCCTGCTTCATCTCCCAGCTTTCAGACTTCTCTCTAGTTGTAGTGATTTTTTTTTTGGAGTTAGTCCTTTTTTCCTTTAATTGGAATTGTTTGTTCTTTTCTTCCATTTACTTAAAAATGAGAGCGAAGCCAGGCATGGAGGCTCACGCCTGTAATCCTGGCACTTTGGGAGGCCCAGACAGGTGGATTGCCTGAGCTCATAGCTTTGAGACCAGCCTAAGCAAGAACAAGACACCATGTCTAAAAATAGCTGGGCGTTGTTGCAGGCGCCTATAGTCTCAGCTGTTTGGGAGGCTGAGGCAAGAGAATTGCTTGTGCCCACGAGTTTGAGGTTGCTGTGAGTTGTGACACCACGGCATTCTACCGAGGGTGAAAGTGAGACTCTGTCTCAGTAAAGTAAAAATAAAAATGACAATGAAATAATTACAGATATTATAACATTTTATTCATTAATATTTTAGCAAACATCTAAAATATCAGAACATTCTTCTACATAATCACAATAATATAGCTAACCACATTTTTTACTGTAACTCCCTATTATATTCAGATGCCCAATTTACATTAATATTTCCCCATTGTCTCACAGAATGTTTAAAACTTTCTTTCCCAGACCTAGCAATGATGGAGATATTTTCTCATCTCCTGGCCTAGAAGTTTCCTTTTTCCATAGTTCCATGGTAATCTCTGTATGTGTCCATACTATAGTTTATCTCACAGGTTTGTTGGTATGTCTTCCTTTGAGGGCAACCATTGTTTTTTGTTGTTGTTTGTTTGTTTTGAGACAGAGTTTCACTGTGTTGCCCTCAGTAGAGTGCTGTGGCGCCACAGCTCCGAGCAACCTCAAACTCCTGGGCTTAAAAGATTCTCTTGCCTCAGGCTTCCAAGTAGCTGGGACTCTAGGTGCCCACCACAACACCCATCTATTTTTTTGTTGCAGTTGTTTAGCTGGCCCGGGACAGGTTCAAACCCGCCACCTTCAGTGTATGTGGCTGGCGAGGTAACCATTGTGCTACGGGTACTGAGCCACAACCATTGTTTTTTAAATCTCTTTATGAGGGCAAAGAAAGATTTCTGTAATCCTCAGTGTCCCTAAATGGATGATGTATTAAATAAAAAAAAGAAAGAAAGAAAGTAGGCTGGCCATTTCTTAAGAACTTCCTGCTCATTACATTCGAGGTAAAAGAAGCAGTTTCATTTTCAAGGGCCTGGCAGTGACAGTGATCACTGTCAACTCTTTGCCCTTACACTAGAAATAGTACTTAATGTCTCTCAATATGGTACAAAACTATAAATGTTCTTTTGTGGCCTGTTTTTTTTTTTTTTTTTTTTTTTTTTTTGAGA